TTCTTTTCATTCTGATCGGCCAGGCATTCACTGCCCGCCTGAGATAAGCAAGTTGGCCCGCAAGGCAGTGGACGATCCAGGGCAGCGAAGCTACATGTTCGAAGCATGGCTGGCTGCCAATGAAGATTGGAAAAAAAGCAGCCTGCTGGTGACCCTTCGGCGGAAGGGTGCCAGCGCACGCAGAGGCCTGCGGAAGTGGGTCTTGTACAGCGAGATGATTGAAAAATGGGGCGAGACCATAGCCCAGGCTATGGTGGAAGCAAAGCAGGCTGATGAGCACAAGAGGCAGCACGAAATCCGACCGTTCCCCGATGCGCCGCATCTCCAGCAATACCTTTGCTTATTCGAGGCCTCCGAGGAGGACTTGGATGAGGAAGCCTTTGAAATGGTTTTCTCTGGGTCTCCCGAGGATTCGGCAGACTCGTCGTCGTCCGACGACGACGAGAAAAAGAAGAAAAAGAAGAAGAAGGTTAAGAAAGCAAAGAAGGCAAAAAAAAACAAGAAAGCCTCGAGCCCCAGCCCCAAAAAGAAAAGCCCGAAGAAGAAAGGCAAAGGCAAGGGAAAGGGTGGCAACAAGCCTGCCAAGGTGGGGAGTTGCTTTGGGGGTTTAGGGTTTTGGGGGGTTTAGGGTTTTGGGCTTTAGGTGTTTAGGGCTGTAGGGGTTTAGGGTTGAGGGGTTCAGGGTTTCGGGGTTGAGGGTTGCAGGGGTTTAGGGGTTTGGGTTGTAATGGGTTCTTTTTCCTATTTATAATTATAATTTTTCAGACATAGCCTTATGGGTTTCAATGTTATTATCAATTCATAGATATAACCCAATTATAAAGCCCTTATAATTATTAATTGTACTTGAAATCGCAAACCTACAGAAACTCTGTATTAATTGCACCCTATACAGCCTTAAACCCTATAGCTGTATATACAACCTTAAACCCGAACCCCGAAGCCCTGAACCCCAAAAGATGCCCGAAAGAAGGCAAAGCCTGAAATCCGAAACCCGATTCCCGAAGCCCTAAACCACAAAGATGCCATAAAGCCACAATATCCCCAAACCCTGAACCCCAAAGATGCCCCAACAAAAGCCTATCCTGACACAGGTTTTGACTGCAGAGGAGCAGGAGTTCCAGGAGACGAAAAGCAAAGCCAACAAGGTGCAACTTAATTGCAGGACTTGCTACATGGTGATATGCAGGTTATCATGTTGGGTGTATATATGCCTCATGTACCGTGGCACAGGCCATCAAGAAAGCCAATGAAAGAATCAAAGCAGCACAAAAAGTGAAGAGCACGACAGAGATCGACGGTATGTGCCTGTGCTGAATTCTTTAAACGTACAGTGTCATGAAGGATGAGTACGATCGCGAGTGTCACTTGCGGTGTCTCAGGGGGGCCCATCTTCTGATAGCCATGAAGAACGATGTGGAAGCCCAGGCACAAATATTGCAGTTGATCATGATAAACCCCTGACATGATAACCATTATAATTCTAAATCAGCAATGTCTCAGGCGCAGGTCCTGGGGGAAGCTCGCGCAGAGCTGCAGGCTGCGGTGGACCAGGATGAGGCCAGTCGGCAGTGCAATTTATAATTACCTTGGATGCAAATTTGATTTGGATCATTCACATGATCTGATTGCATTAGCTTTAAATATGATGTGTTTCCAATGGCCCTGGGAACTTTGTTTACGGGATCTTGGGAGCCATTCGACTGCTGCTGTTGCAGGGATAGTACAAACAAGCTTCAGTATTTGTGTGGCCATGGGGATTGACCTAAACCCCAACCCCTGACCACTAAA